TTGCAGGCACTAGCCGCTGATGTGAAACTGGCTAAAAACGACTGTCCAACCTTATGCACGAATATGTGTTTGTTTCTTATGGGTTGTTGGGTTGGGGGTAATGTAAGTGATTATTACGTTTAGTTGTTAAATAATATAAGATTTCGATAATCTTCAAATATTAATAGTATTAGAGGTAATATGATTATCTCAATTTTCTTAGGTATTCTAAGATTATCAGGATAATCTTTTCTTTTTTTTGTTATAATTTTATCCCTTATTAATAAAATTTTAGGATAATAATGCCTTTATTTTTAAATTTATTTACATGAATATAACTTTTACTATTTCACCCCAATTAATTAACTTTTTGGACAAAATTACCCTTGGATTCAAAACAAATTACAGCCCACCCAAGCCACCACCCCCACCCACCTACCGCCGCCTGCTGTCGGTAACCACCGCCGCGGCCAGCGGTTGCCATAGCCAGAACGATGCACGGAAGGCCGAAAATGGTCGCCGTGCTCTGATATGGCCATTTTCGGTCAGATATCTGGCAGAAAATGGCCAATCATGCCAAATCTAACCATTGACAGCTAAATCTAATCTGGTCGTCAAAGGCCAGATCCGTCGATTTGGCCATCGATGGCTAGATCTGGCATGATCTAGCCATTTTCGGTCAGATATCTAGCCAGAAATGGCCATACGGCACACGGAGGCCATTTTATGCCTTCCGTGCGCCGTTAGGTTATTGCCTGCGTAAGGCCTACGGTGGTTGCCGGAGGTCGACAGTGGTTGGGTTGGTGGCGGTGCTTTGTTGATTTTCTAAACTTTTATTATGAGGTTGTTTTTGCTAAGTTTTTAAATACAGGGGGGGTTTAATAATAATCAATATTAAAAAATAATATAATAATAATATTTAACTAGAGGACAATTCAGTAATTTAAATAACCTACACACCAATTTATTCCTCCCAACCAAACATATTAATATAACATACTCACTAATTAATCAAATACATTTTCCTAAAGATTCTCAGTAATCTAACATTCCTAGTAATCCAAAATTCCCTGAACTAAACACTCCCTTATGAGTTACTATTATATGGCCCCTAGATTACTCATGTTTGGACCTTGATTTGAACAACAAGATTTAAGCGTTTCTTTCAATATTATTTATGTCAAATAAAATAGCTTTCTACCTTCATATTATATTCTATTCTTTTAAGTGTTCATTTCTTGAAGGACGAAACTACTTCTATGTAAGGTATTTGTTTTTAACTTTATTTCTCATCACATTTAGTATGGTTAAAATGTTGACATGACTAATAAATCCAAATGTTAGAGTCATAATTTATTTATTTTGACTTTAATATAACATTCATACTCATAAGTCAAGATCTTAAGTGAATTATTGAAGAAAAAAAAATCACATTTAAAAGCTTTGAAAAATAAGATTATGGTTTTGAGATTTTAATAACAAATTCAAACAAAAGAAAATGTTTAATTGTTAAATGAGAAATCAAATATTTTCTAATTAATTAAAGGAAATAAAACCTTCGTTGACTTTGAAAAGTCATTTAAAAAAAAAAAATCCAAAGAAATAATAGTAAACAGTTTGAAATTGTTTGGTTGGGGAGGTAGTTTAAGCAGCCAATTACACTTGGCATCAACACAATCCTCAAACACCATTGGATGTTCATTTATAGTATGGCATGTTTGGTGGCGAAGAGAGAAGACACGTGAAAACCACTTGGTCTGATTCCATCCAAACTTAACCCAGATCACGAGTATTGGGGACAATAATCATGGTTAAAGTGGTCCAGTCCCAATAAAAGTTTTAATAAACGAGCAGGTGGTGTGTCGTTTTTCAACAAAGATTAAACATGCATTTCGGTGGTATTCCCACTTGGAAGCAGAGAAAGAGGTGAGTGAAGGGATTGGGGAATAATCCAAATATTATATGTAGTGTAGTTTTTTTTTATTGGTAATTTACTGGAGTTGTTTGTTGCATTGAACCTGCTCTGGTTAGGACACTCAACAAACAACTAAATAATTCACTTTAATACTTGTATCACTGTTGAATAAATAAGGCGTGTTTTGAAGGTTTTTCTAACTTTGCATCTGAAATATCTCATGACATTGTCTTGGTAAGAACACTTCATCTACAAATTGCAAACCAAATTCAATGTTCGACTTTTTTTAATGGCTCTGCCAACCAATCTAGAACGCCGTCTCTGCCTATAAAGTCATACCGTACAGTCAAATGATACAAAGAACTTGGAAGAAGTGAACCTTCCTATGATGTTCGGTAAGGTAACTAATAATCTAGGTTAGAAATTTGACTCAAGCACGAAACATGTGAAATTTGACAAGGCGTGTTCGGATTTCTTCTACAACATCAGTTTTTTTGTTCATAAATACTTGTTAAAACCATATGAATATGATGTTAACAAAGGATTTAATTGATGCATTGGTAGTTCTAAATTTTTTGAGCTTGATTGAGCTATTGGATGCATATGAATAATCAGTGATTAGGAACTCGGCCATATCCAGTCGGTTGAATCGTGACCTAGAGCCTTCACCGAGTCAAGTTACAAAATTTCCTATTCATTCAAAACACTAAAAATTAGGACATCAATCAATGAATAACTGAAGGTTGGAATGTTAGGGCATTTGAAGAGGAATGATCGGTGAGTGGAATGGTAACAACAACGTTGATTTTCGCTGAGTGAATCAAGCAAAAATCGCAAAACAATGTGGCTAGAAAAAGCCCGTTGTCGGTTGTCGCCAGCAATTGGGGAGGCGAGCAGGAGAGGGTGGGTTTTAGTTAGGAGACTGAGGGGAGTGTTTTTGTGGTGATGGGGAGTGTTGTCATCGCTGAAAATAGGCTTTATTTGCCAATGCCGACGATGGTTTTTGGAGTCTGTTTGTAAGATTTTAAACCTATAGAGACTTACGTAATTTTTAGGGGTATTTTTATTATATTTTAAACCTTTGGCCACTGATTTGACTGTCGGTCAAATAGGTTAAACCGCTCGACCCAGAACCCGATGGCCTGGTCGGGTCACTACATGGGTCGGGTTCCCATCACTGTGAATAATATTAGAAATATACAACTATATAACAAACACTCACATTATTGGTGTGAGAATTGTTATACACTCAACACAATAAAATTTTAAGTTGTTAAATTTGGTCATAGTGCTGGCATGTAAATGTTTAAAATGTGAGCAGCAATTGAATTTAGAATGCATAAGATAAGTTAATGTAGCAATGCGTTTTGTGTTTATTTAGCGTAACTAGAGTTTAGGATTTAAAGCATAGATGCAGATAACAATGTGTTTAGCGTTTATCATCATTGGGTGGGCTTTCATTTAATTTATTGGTTAATTTGCCGATTAATGCACAGGTCATGCCATTGTCACGACTTGTCGACCCTTTGATCCCCACTTTCTCAAGTCGGTCAGCGACCGCCTAATTAATCATTCATCATTCATCAATATTGTTAGCTAATTGAATTATACAGGCAAAAAAGTGGGCCATATTTGTAGATCCTACGTTCTACAATCCCCTATCTGAGGAAGGATCAGTAGATGTCAAACAGCTAATAAGCAGCCGGTGTTGCACCTAGCTAGCCATCAAATTGAGGGGCCGATGGAGTTCGTTGACAGGTGTAATATATAATAACCGAGTTTTTGAAGAAGACTTAATGCCTAAATTTATTGAGATGGTGTGATCTGGGTAATTTATTGAGATGGTGTGATCTGGGTAATATTTTTCTCCTTCACTGGATGGCTTGACCCTTTCCTGTTCAACGCGGCTTGAGAATTATACTTTCTGTGCACTTACTGCGCAGTTGACTTAGTTTTTTATTCTTCCATGTTTATATTTAACACTAGATTATCAGTTATTAAATTGAGCCTAGATGTTATCCTGTATGAGCTTAGAAAGGGTCTTGCTTACTGTTAGGACATGAGTTTGCCAACTAAATACAGCGCTAATTCGTTATAAAATGTCCTATAATTTTCAAGAGTCATCGATCTCAGCTGTTGACACAATGCAAGTGCGCCAGATCATAATCAGGAGGAAGCATTAATGACGTATTACCAGAAGCATACAGCATAAAGAGACTGACTTATAGTCACACATCCTCCTTAGTTAAAGATCCAGTTCCATGATAATCATATTCTTAACCCGTTGTGCTTCAGTTACGCGTCTAACTTGTACACTGTGTGGGGTGGGACAAATGTGAAAGCTCACACAAAAGCAACTGCCTACAGTGACAATTGAACCAAATTGAACGTTTGAGTAGAAAAGTTGAACTTTTAACACCTTTATATGCTTGAGTAATATATTTATTCACTCAAAAAAATTTACCACAAATTCAAATATTCAAAATCAGTTGCGTAGAAAAATACGTGTTTATCTCTACATGTGTGGGCAAGTAATGGTATGACACGAGAGAATCGGATTGAAAGAGTCAGCATCCATAAAAGGAAATTAAAGAGGAGAAGTAGTTTAAGTAAGGCCACCTGTCATCCTAATCACTTCCACAACCTATCTTCTTATCCACACCACACCAAACATCTCTCATCAATCAACCATCTCCATCCCACTCATTAATAAAATATAACTACTAATTAAACATTTAAAATAATTAAAAATATTTATTGTCCGAGCTAAAATGTGGCACATGCGCCCTGGGCGTGAACCTCATGCCTATGTATGTGTGGAGTGTAACCTGTTACTGAACCAACTGTAAAAAACCGTCACTCTCACAGTATTTGTAATTTGTTCTGAGTCATGCGTAAAACAAGTGGCGTCAACTGAACACTCAGTCCTTGCGCGCCGCTCACGCGTTTGAGATGTGCTCAACATCATTATTCAATATTCATGGCCATTTACTTGGTGCGCATCGCACACGTAAAGTCGACGGGGCGCATTTTAGACTCTGATATATGAAAATTCAATAATCGTGAGCCGGAAATAAATTAAAAAAACTTCTCTTGGAGAAAAAAATTAATTGAATCAATAACTATCACAAATCATAAGTAAGCAAGTGAGGGAATCTCAAGTGCTATGTACACAAAAAAAATTATCACTGAAATCTGTTACAAAAAAGAAATACACGAAATTATAGTCTAAATTAATATCCTAAAAATGAAAAAGAAAAGAGTCCTAATTCGATAATCTAGACTTCAAATTTAGAGGGCAAGAAGAAACGAGGCTTTTTAGCTGCAGGATGAGGACTTTCCACTTCATCATCGGCGGACACAAAGAAGGCAGGCGAGAATTCCGGTAACACCGGTAGGTTGAGGTCAAAGTCACGGTGACTGACTTGGCTATGTGAAGTACTGGACCCCACACCTTCCGATGACGTCACTCCGCTTTTTTCGCCGCCTTCGTAGTGACAGCGTTTGTGTCCACCTAAGGCTTGACCAGTGGGAAAGGACTTGTGGCAGATGGAACACTCGTGGGTCCTACCAGTGGTGTTTGGTGCGGTGGTGGCGTTGTTGGTGGTGGAGGTTGACTGCTCCTCGCCGCCAGATCCTTTACGGTGACTGGCCTTGTGTCCACCCAGTGCTTGGTAAGAAGAAAAGGCCTTGTTGCAAACACTGCACTTGAAGATAAGCTTCTGGTCAGAGGATGTCGTAGCAGCTGGTGGAGCTTGAGAAGGAGACTTGTGTCGCTGCGAGGCGGTGCTAGTAGTGGCTATGGAGGCGGTGGAGGTGGTTCCACGAGCAAGCATGACGAGGCAGAGAGCGAGATACTCCTCTTCGGTGGGAGGGTTGTGGGGACGCTTTGAGCGCTTGCGCTTAGTCCATGAATCAATACAGTGAAGATTCGCTTCTTCAAAGTGAAACGGTGGCGTGGCTGTGGTTGGAGAGTTGAGAGCTTCTAGTGCCATCTGCTCTGAATTGGTGGAGTTGAAAGGAGAGACTAGAGAGTATTGAGATTTAGAAGATTGAATGTGAATTTAAGTTTGTGTGTTGAGTAGAGAGTGTGAGAGAGGCTTTTAAAGGAAGTGAGGAGAGGGAAGTTGCGTGACAAGTGGTGCGAAAGTAAGCGACGGTGTGCAAGAAGTTAATAAAATATACGAAAGGGAGTGGAGCACGTTTAGTAATTGGATGGTCCTTCCTTGGTGGCTAAGGCCTAAAAGGACGACTTGATTCGAGTCGGTCAAACAAAGAGAAATAGTTGCAATTGTAATAGTGTTACTCAAACGTGGGCCTTTTATTCAGTCTTAAGTGAAGACCCAAGACTTCTTCCAAGTCAAAATCTAATACAATGAAAGAACTTGGAAGAACAACTTTTCCAAACAAACGCGGTGTTGTTTAATTAGCTTCTAGCAGCCGGCAGCCAACAAGTAAGCACGGGGATTTTTCCTTGTTATTTGAGGCATATTTAGTACCTAATACTTTGTATTAATACTAATTAGGTGGCTAATCACATGGGACGATTTCTTAGCGTGGTGAATAAACTATAAAGTAGAAACAAGTGTTAGCCAGTGGAGGTGGCCAACAGAAATTAAAGCCTCCTACCACAGACACAGAGATATTAGTGGATGAGAATGTTCACATACATCTCTGTTGCGTTGTGAATTGGATGGGATGTTCCACTCAAATGACTTTTGGAAGTTTAATTATAATAGAAGAGTCATATTCGATTGCATAATTTGGTAATTCAGGTAATTTAAATATGCCTAATAAAGATTTTCTTGTAGTTTCCGCAATTAACCTTATTGATTAAAAGTCAGTATCACCACGAGGATGCTATTGCTATGTTTAAAATTTAAAATCACGTGGTTATTAAAGATTCAATTAGTCGGTATCATTTACTCTATCAAAGCGCACATGTTAGTTATGCCCAAAACTCTTGAATTTTGCATTGGTCAGCGTCTTAATTAACTTATTTTTTCTATTTCTTCTGCATTGATTTATTTTCATCGTTTATCATTTGTATTAATACTTTGTACCAAAATTCGTTAAACATTTAACCACTTTTAGTGCAATAAATAATTTGTACAAATATTTTCTCAATACTACAATAATACCATGACCAGCTAGTTTTTGTGTTTATCGTTTTGAAGTGAAGTGATCTACTTGGTTACTGGTTTGGTTTGGTATCTAGAAAGACAGGAAGATACGCGAAGCATCTAGGAAGCCACACGTGCTGCGACCATCAACAATACTTTTTGGGTCCCCATCGGTCCCTCTCTGAAATTGAAAATAACCGTCCCAATTCAAAGAAAATCAGACGGATATATATATAAAAAAAAAACAAAGAAAACAATTCGGAAATGATCTACTTCAGTTTACGTTTATCACTTATCTGGCTGTGTCGGTATTACCATTTCTTTCTTTTTAATTCAAATCATCAGCATCAGATTCTATGGACTCGCTCACCATGACAACTAATTTGTTTTTAAATAACTAAAACACTTGCTTAGTTGCTTGCCGTTGGAATTAAAGTGGAGTTGATGATTCCAAAACTACAGTGCAGCAAAAGACTTTCATCCGCCTTTTGGTGATTGTGATTCTTTCCTACAAAGCCTGTTTTTTGAGGGCTCTTTTTAAACCCTCTGATTAGCCATCAATTTCATAAGGCTCCAACTTTAATTGCATAATTAGAGGCCATGAGACAACGTTCTAGACTTTATCTGCAACTTGCTAGACTACGCACACCCGGAAGATTGAGATGTTTTTAATAGCAACCAAACTTGCAGCGAAAAACCATGAAGACTCAAAAAACAAGAAAAAGGTGACAAATAAGCGTTGACGTTGAGTGAAGTCACTGCTTACATAAACTGAAATCTTAAGTTTTAGGCTTCGGACGAAACTGGGGGCCTAACCAAACCACCCTTGATGAGAAGGTGAAAAGCATGTATATTTGTTAGTTAAGTTTGGCAACTTGGCATAGTTAATAGGAAATTGGATCAGATGAGACTTCTAGATAGAGATAAGCATCATAAGAAACCAATCTTCATCAACCCTTTGGACGAATATTAATAATCTCTTTTGTATTATAGCGAATCACCTCATGTCTAGTCCAGTTGTTGCTTTTATATTATGTGAAAAGAAAATACAATTCACGGGACATAGTCATAGCTTGGAAATTGGAATTTAGCATCAGATGCTGCCTTTTTTATTTGTTGGATTGGGAGATGGAAGTTGAGTGTGGACTGGAGAAGGAGAAGTGATAACATATACTGTCTCCAATGACCGTCATTCCTTTTGAGTGAATTTTTTTTACTTTTCACAACTTGATTACTAGTTAACAAACTTATTAATTAAGATATTGTTATTATGATGTTGGCCATTCACGAGGCCTACTCAACCAAGCACTTGCGTAAGGCGACGATTGTGACTATGTATTTGAGTATTTATTAGACCAACTTGTTGGATGTGGCCCATTTTCAGGCGTAATGGCCATGACCTATTACTGTGCTATACAGAAATACATCCTTTTGGTTGCTTGAGTAGCTACTCTCGCATCATTTTAATTTACTTGTGTTTTGTTAGGTCCCAATTTAGTCACGTCAGATTTCATTCTTGAAAAACATTTTAATAGGAAATTGCACAGATTGTTTAACCCCGTGTTTGTTCACTCTTTTGAATTGTTATCTTATTTGAATTAAAAAATAAAATATGTGTTTGTTTATTTATTGTTGTAATTATTATTCTGAAAATTAATCCGAATTAAATAAGAATTTTTTCTATTAAAAATGAAAAAATGAGAACTTATTTTCTATTATTTTATTCTATTCAACTCAAAACATTTTTTCAATTCTATTCAATTAAAAACAATTACTTTCTACTTTTTTCAATTTGAAAATTAATCCATCCAAGACCACCACCGCTTGCCAACAACCAATAGCGGTGTCTGGTGCCAAAACAATGCACGATTACCAAATCTAGTCGATCGTGTGTTAATTTTGCCATTTCTAGCCAGATCTATCTGGCCGGTAACGACGACTAAATTGTTGATGACAATGGCCGGATTTTGGGAGTGTTTAGCTAAATTAACAATTGTTTGGGGTTAAAAAATAATCTAAATATTTTCAGAAAAAGTTTTAAAAAAATATACCAAACAACTATTAAGCATTTTATCAAACTCTGACATAATTTTAAGATATTATATCAAACACATTCTTAAAATCCTATCATATTCGATTTAATCCAACTCAACTCAACTTAAAATAGTTTTTCAGAATAAATTTTTTGAAATAATCTACCAAACACCTAAGAATTTTAATTTTAATTTAAGTATGTATATGAGATTTATTTATTTTTATTAATGATTTTAAAAGAAATAAAAAAAAAAAGCTTCCAGGTAGATCTTCAGCATATCCCTTCAATACGACAAAAAACACAGCAGTAGTGTTCAGTGAACAGAAACAGCATGATCCATGCAATCGTGAGACTTTAGACGGCCATAGGTAGAGTTTCTGATATTCTTGTATGACTAAAGTGCCCTCACTTCAATTATTTTGTTACTCCACCAACTAATATATTTGTTAAATTAACCCCACAAGTGAAGTCGACAGAGTTCGCCTACCTACCGCGCACCAACAAATGATGCAAGCAATTTCACTTCTTAACTTTTCAAAACCCTCTCCTCTCTTCGTAGGGCCATTTCAAAGACGACACTGTCCCTCGATCGCCGGTGCCGCCGCTCCTATTAGTCACTTGCACCGAAATCGCTGTCAAAGTTACCGAATCTCAGTTCCTCCTCTATCGTGCAGTGGCACTGGTAAGAGCTCTCGTCTTAACTCTTAAGTAGACATTTATGCAAAGTTTTTATAACTTTTTATTAAAAAGTAATTACTTTCTGAAGTGTGAATCACGGGGTCGAAAGGGCATTATAGTTAAAAGACAGATGTTTTATCTTATACTAGTGGGCAATTTTGGAATAAAATATTTTTCTAAGATTGGTGCATTCTAAAATCCTACTGGGCAACAGTCAACAGAGAGCAGCAGACAACTGGGTATCCCCTTCTCTTTCTGGGTCTTAAAAAATCTAACTGCTTTGTTATTGCGATTCAGTGCAACATCAAGAAATGGCTTCTGATGATGGACAAGACTCTCGGATTAGTCGGATTTCCTCCGCTATTCGTGCCATCCCGGACTTCCCAAAACCAGGTATTAATTTTTTAAGTATGTTGTTAGTCTTTCACTTATTATTGTGGGTTCAAAGTAAGGTTTTGGCCTAGTGATCTAGTTTTTCTACATGGGTAAGCCACTTTGTCAACTAGTTGGTAGGTTATTTTATGTTATGAACTATATATTTGTTTGTATGATGTCAGGGATTTTGTTTCAAGATATAACGACGTTGCTTCTTGATACAAAGGCTTTCAGGGATACTATTGATCTGTTTGTTGAGAGGTATAAAGACAAAAACATCTCCGTTGTTGCAGGTAATTTCTTATTTTATTGCTGTTGCCATTGCATTTGCGTGCTCTTTTAATCTCTAGTTTTATTTTATAATTGATTACGACATGATTTCTTTGTTTGTTTACTCCCTTGTTTAAACTTGGTGTCAGAGAAATCTCTATTCGTTAACTGTTAATGTCATTCTGTTCGTAGCCATAATGATCTAATACCTGTTTTATGTGCCTAAATTGCACTAACTAAATCAGAATTTGTTTCTTTAGTTGTACTTTATTAGTGTTTTGGTTGCATGGTTTAGTATAATAAATATATGTTTTTAGCATTGATGCGATTGCACACAGTCTATGAATTGATAATAAATTTCAGAAGTTCTTTGCAAATCTTAAATCAAATTTTTATACATTGTGACTTTACCAACTCGGTTTCTTGGTAATTGATGAAACCTAACTATCAAATATGTGGCATTACATATATCTAATTCTTTGTGCAGGCATTGAAGCAAGGGGTTTTATATTTGGACCTCCCATTGCATTGGCTATTGGGGCAAAATTTGTTCCTATGAGGAAACCCCATAAGCTTCCTGGTATGTTTTTGTTATATCTTTTGATTAACTGAATAGGTTTTTGGCTTTGTGAGAAGTTCTTGGTGGACAAGAATCCTGGATTAATTTAAGGAGTACCACGAATTCACATGCTTTAGTTTTTGTTCCAGCCATATATCAAGTTGCACTGGTGCAAAATGTTTTCAATGTCACTAGTTCACATATATTATCACTAAATGCTTCTTGAATGGCTCAATAGACATGATGATGAGATTCTGATGATTATACACAGTTTGCATCTTTTTTTTTCCGGTAGGAAGTTATACACATTAATATTCAAACAGTACAATCACCATAAAACTTTTTTTTTTTTTTGGTGTGTGTGTGTGTGTGTGGGATGGAAGTTATTCTGGCTACACAATAATGTTTTCTAAGATTTAAAAACTCAGAGAGATGTGTCTTGGAAATAGTTATGTTGACGTCAAAAGTAGAGTTAACCATGAAGTGTGTGGTTCTTTCCATATTATTGATGAGTTGATTTCTTGCTAAATGCTTTATTCTGTTTATGACCGAACATTTATCCTAGAATCTTTCTTTTAGTAAGTATTGGAATGTTTTCATTTCACTAAGGTAGAATTTTTGTGATGGTCAGGGGAGGTTATTTCCGAGGAATATGCTTTGGAGTATGGAACAGACGTAATGGAGATGCATGTAGGTGCTGTAGAAGCAGGTGAACGTGCTTTGGTTGTAGATGATCTCATTGCAACTGGTGGAACCTTGTGTGCTGCAATCAGGCTTCTTGGTAGTGTGGTTAACTTTAAAAGTTTAAATTACTTTACAGATAAATGTCGTCTAACTGCTTATACTTCATATATTCTTCTCCTTGTGTGCTTAAGTAGGGTTTTGCTTAATTACAATTACTTTTCTGGAAGGTTGTGGTCCTCGTGTTCTTTTGAATAATTTTGATCTATTTGTAAAGAGGAAAGGAAAGGGGGTTTTCCTAAGCAATTTACATTATAAATTCTTGGTTGGGGTGCCAATCAGCTCAATGGTTTCTTCATGATGTATATGGTGATAAAACTTGCATAAAATGTCTTCAAAGAATTTACAAATCAAGAATAGACTAAAACGGGACTGGTTAAGGATACAACCTACAGTTTTCTCTTCTATTTGTGGTTTCTGCTCTGTTTTTAAAATATATTTTAAAGGACCTTTAGTCAAACAGAAATACTATGCTTACTCACGAGTTGTACTAACCGTCTAACTACCTTTGTTAAAATTACACATAGTACCTGTACTATGCGTATGGTACCCATACTCTGCGTTATATTTATAAAGGATAGTAAGATGGTGAGTAAGCATAGTATTACTCTTAGTCAAATACTATACTCTCTACGTGGATCACTAAAAGAAATATGTGTAGTTGATGTGCATGTCATCATTGGCTTCAGGAATATCACTCTTCTTATTTATGTTATCAGAGTATGCCTTCTCACATCATATCAATTATTTGTTGCAGAGCGAGTTGGGGTGCAAGTGGTTGAGTGTGCCTGTGTCATTGAATTGCCAGAGCTACAGGTTTGTTTGTACTCCAAATACTAATCAGTTATCCTAATTGCGATTTACCCTTAAGCTTGTTTTCTATTATAGTCTAGTTGGTCTTTAGTTTGGTGCTTAGCATTTTGTAGATTAATCTACTGTGAAGCTAACTTAGTTTGAACCAAGAAACTATTACATGAGGTTATCTAAATGGCTCAGAATGTGTAGTTGGGTAGTCCCATAGGATGGTAACTGCTAGATTCCAAAATGAAGACTTATTGACGAGATATGACTGTGTCACAGCTAAATAACATGCACTTGTATCTGAGTAGTTTTCAGTTAAAATTTAGATGTGAAAGCAATGTCCATGAATAAATGTGTCACAGAATTGTAAAAACATTTGATATGCATCTTAAACTTCATAGATCTTTGGAGAAATCGCTAGTCATTTTTTGTTTATTAGATGTGATTTCATTATATAAAAAAAATAAATAAATAAAATACCACAGACATGCAAATGAAACCGAAATATTCTGTTTTACACCTTATTGGTATAGATATAAGTTAATTACTTGTATGATAATTGGTATAATAAACTCTAGTAAATTCTTTGGTCAAATAAAAATATAAACACAGGGTTTAAAACCTGATCAGAGTTAACTGCTATCTACTTGTCCTGAGTATGCTGTGCCAAGATTTTAATAGTGCCTCATGGTTCTACAGATAATGGCTAGAGCTATTTACGGTCATTCATTCATTGCCCTGTTTCTTGAATTTTTTCATAACTAACACAACTGCACTGTTGTTTATTTTGGTTTATGTTATAGGGTCGGCAACGGTTGGGAGATAAACCTCTATTTGTTCTTGTAAGCGCAAATTGATGTCAGTTTGGGGTATAAGTGCATGCTTCTCGGCCATATGGTTGGAAATTGATGTAGCCCTGCTCAGACGTCAAGATATTTCGTGGAGGGAACAGGCTTTGTTTGATAATAAGGATGTATTAGACTGATATTAGAGCATTGTCATTGGTTTTTTCTTGTATTTTAGGTAAGAGGCTGGGAGACAACTGTGGGGAGATTGGGTTTGCCTTTGAATTTAAGAATTATGCGTTTATTTTGTGTGTATGAGAAGAATCTTTCTTGTTTTATTCTCATGAAGCTGGTACCGTGCTTTTAAGTTGCAATGGATGTAGGGATTCTCTATTTCAGTTTTAAATTTCAGTTTTAAGGTGTATAAGAAATATTAGCCCTTTAATTTCCTTCTTATCAAGTCATTTCTTAAATGTTTGCCAGAAGAGCAGTGAATTTATGTTTTATTAACACATTGGATATACAATGGTGAGATCCTACTCGCGAATAAAACTACTCTCCCTAAACTACACGCCCTGAACCTTAAAAGGATGACTTATTGATCAAGAAGGTTTATTTCTTTCATTAACTTCTTGGATTCAAACTTTAGAGTCAGGTATCATATTGTGATTTACCTAGTCTTTTAGAGTTATACGGTGTTCAATGGATTCTATAAATTAATTGAGGTGCGTGTAAACTGGTCAAATATCTCAGTTACCAGAAAGAAAGAAGAAAAAAAAAAAAAAAAACTACACTCCCTATTGCATCAGCAACGCATATACAATAAGAGAATTCAATGTTTGTAACTACGGTGGCGTTGGTTTTCTTTTTTCTTTTTTTAAACAAATTGATTTTGTTATTCTAACCCTCTAAGGGGGCGTTTGGTTGGGGGTTAAATGGGATTACTAGGGTAATGTCATCTTATATTACTTGATTACCATGTTTGGTTGTCAAGTAATATCATATACCGATAATCTTCAAATACCAATAGTAGTTACTATTGGTAATTTCAGAGGTAATCTGATTACCTCCATTTTCTTAGGTATTCTGAGATTACCAGGGTTATCTTTTTTTGTTACAATTTTATCCCTTATTAATAAAAATTTTAGACAATATCCCTACTTTAAAACAAATTTACATTAATATCCTATTTCAATTTTACCCTTGTTTAATTAAAATTTTGGACAATAATACCCTTATATTTAAAATNTAACATGCACTTGTATCTGAGTAGTTTTCAGTTAAAATTTAGATGTGAAAGCAATGTCCATGAATAAATGTGTCACAGAATTGTAAAAACATTTGATATGCATCTTAAACTTCATAGATCTTTGGAGAAATCGCTAGTCATTTTTTGTTTATTAGATGTGATTTCATTATATAAAAAAAATAAATAAATAAAATACCACAGACATGCAAATGAAACCGAAATATTCTGTTTTACACCTTATTGGTATAGATATAAGTTAATTACTTGTATGATAATTGGTATAATAAACTCTAGTAAATTCTTTGGTCAAATAAAAATATAAACACAGGGTTTAAAACCTGATCAGAGTTAACTGCTATCTACTTGTCCTGAGTATGCTGTGCCAAGATTTTAATAGTGCCTCATGGTTCTACAGATAATGGCTAGAGCTATTTACGGTCATTCATTCATTGCCCTGTTTCTTGAATTTTTTCATAACTAACACAACTGCACTGTTGTTTATTTTGGTTTATGTTATAGGGTCGGCAACAGTTGGGAGATAAACCTCTATTTGTTCTTGTAAGCGCAAATTGATGTCAGTTTGGGGTATAAGTGCATGCTTCTCGGCCATATGGTTGGAAATTGATGTAGCCCTGCTCAGACGTCAAGATATTTCGTGGAGGGAACAGGCTTTGTTTGATAATAAGGATGTATTAGACTGATATTAGAGCATTATCATTGGTTTTTTCTTGTATTTTAGGTAAGAGGCTGGGAGATAACTGTGGGGAGATTGGGTTTGCCTTTGAATTTAAGATTTATGCGTTTATTTTGTGTGTATGAGAAGAATCTTTCTTGTTTTATTCTCATGAAGCTGGTACCGTGCTTTCTAGTTGCAATGGATGTAGGGATTCTCTATTTCAGTTTTAAATTTCAGTTTTAAGGTGTATAAGAAATATTAGCCCTTTAATTTCCTTCTTACCAAGTCATTTCTTAAATGATTGCAGAAGAGCAGTGAATTTATGTTCTTTTATTAGCACATTGGAAGTACTGAGATGGTGAGATCCTACTCGTGAGTAAAACTATGCTCTCTAAACCTCAAAAGGATGACTTAACGGTCAAGAATGTTTGTTCTCTTTATTGATTTTTTGGATTCAAATTTTAGAGTCATGTATTACATTGTGATTTATCTGATCATTTAGAGTTGTATGGTGTTCAATGGATTCTATAAATTAATTGAGGTACGTATAAACTGGTCAGATACCCCGGTTACCAGAAAGAAAGAACAAAAAAAAAAAAAAAAAAAAAGCTACACTCCCTATTGCATCAGCAACGCATATTCAATAAGAGAATTCAATGTTTGTAACTACGGTGGCTCTGGTTTTCTTTTTTCTTTTTTTAAACAAATTGATTTTGTTATTCTAAGCCTCCAAGGAGTTGTTAACTATAGACCCTACAATATTAGTAATGTTACAGTCACCGAAGATTGTACACCGAATCTGTGCACCAAATGACGTAACAAAATCCTGACCATTAATTCATTATCAATTAATATTAATAAACGATTAAGAATTTATCACATCATTCGGTGCACAACCTTGGTGGCTCTATCATTTTTCAATTAAAGAATAATGATGGAAAGTGTATGCTGTAACTCATTTCAGCAGGTCATGATTTAATTTACATAGATGAAGATGATTACGTATTATCATAAATGCTAAGAGTTGACAAATCTTTCTGACTTAATTAAATGGGATGGTCTAACAATTAAAGATTAATGTGTTTGACATTATGAAATTCAATTCATAACAGGAATAGTTATTAATGTTAATAGTTTGACATTATGGATTCAGTTCATATTATAAATAGTTCTCAATATTCAAACATTATATAATTATTTTACCATGTCCATGGTTAACAATATTCAAAACATATACAACGGATTGTTTTAAAACCTACACCGGAGGGCAACCTGTTTTGCTATCTAGGTCACGGGTCAATCGGTTGGACTGATGACGTCAGTGATAATTTTATTTTTAAAAAATTACTGTTAATCTCTTACATTTTAATCTATTACAAAAATTCTCCCAAAAAGTTTAATTAGTCCCTAAAATATTTATTTATTTTAAAAATACCCCCAAAAAATTACCAATTAATCCCTAAACTTTTGACATATCCTCAAAACACTCCTATAAAATTTATTAACCCTTATAATTTTGAAATATTATAAAAACCCCCCTAAGACCTGAACCAGACCGGAAAAATTGTCGAGTCCCGGTTGGGCTGGTCTGGTCCAGTTTTTAAAATAGAGATACAACGTACAGGAGGAGAGCTGGAGAGGTCGAGTGTTATTAAGAACAAGATTAACACTCGTGTGATACTTTAAATTGCAAAATCGAAATGATATTTCAAGTAGAATTATTATACTGCATTTGGATCATATAATGTTTTTTTATTTCAGTAATAAGATTATCGGAAAGAAATATTATATTGTAGATTACTGGGTTAAAATTATTATTGTGCTTTGTTCAATTCGGATGTATTAATAATTAATGTGTTTAGTTGACAGTAATAACAGATATTCTTAAATATCCTTTTACTAGAATGCCCTTGGGATGATTACTTGTATTACTAATTAATCTGTTTGGTTGGCTGTAAGAGCAGATGTCTTGATTACATTTTACTAAATGTCCTTTAGATGATTACGAGATTAAATAATTAAGGGATTACTTGTATTACTAATTAATCTGTTTGGTTGGCTGTAAGAGCAGATGTCTTGATTACATTTTACTAAAATGCCCTTTAGGTGATTAGTGGGTATAAATAATTAATGTGTTTGGTTAATAAAAGAAATGATCAATTAACAAAAAAAAAAATTTCTTATATTTTAGCCAATTATTTTATTGTTAAGTCATTGTCAGGAGCAAACAAATGGAGACGAAGACCTGAGGTTGCTGCGGCGGAGATGGTCAACCAACGGCAAAGGGAAGAGGGAGAAGTTAGACTAACAAACGCAAACAAAACAGAAAATGAAAAATACAATGGAAAGAGGGCGAGGGACTTATCGGAAATGGCGAATGGAGTGTTGTCCGAATCAAACAGATGGAGACGAAGATCCAAGGCGCTGCGGCGAACATGGTCAACCAACGGCAGAGGCAAGAGTGAGATCTTAGACTAACGAACGCAAAACAAACCCAAAATGAAAAATACAATGGAAAGAGGGCATTTGACTTACCGAAAAATGGCGATTAGAGTGATGAAGTCGCGAACGAGATCAAGAAGAAGAAGACTAGCGGCAGCGATGGAGGTTTAGGGCAGCGTCTCAGTCAAAATGTGTATTAGGGCTAAGAATTTTTTTCTTTTTATATTGTAGTTTTAGTGAAATAAAAGGGCATATTAGCCATAATATGCAAATATGTGAGGATAATATGGGCACACAAATATTGTCGTGGCATTTATGAAAATATTGATAATAAGCGGGGCAATTTTGTCCAATAAGGATATTTTCATCCACATTGTCCACTATTTTGGGGCAAAATTGGATAAAAATTTGAATTACTGGAGTAATATTTTAATAACATCCTTCCCTCAGGTAATATTATTCCCGATGATTTACCCTCAATTTGGCATTGTTTGACATTTTTTTTTTTGCATAAATGTTTTTTTACAAAACAACCAAATATGATTATATATCCAATTTAAAATATATTATCCCGTTATATAATATCAACCAGATCCAAACGGCCCCAAAGAGCTAAGGGTGTGTTACCTTCCTTCTTCTTCAACAAATGTTATTGGTATGATGGTTTTGATTTTACATACACAAACCCCCGAACCTGAAGCTGAACATATAAATAAATAAATTTTATCCCTTTCACATATTATAATTTGCATAAGAATTATATGTATATATGTTATAAAGAGCTTGGAGAAACCACCATCATTTTTTTTATATAAACTGGAATAATTCGCACACTACTCAGTCAACTTCAAAAATAAAATTATCATTATTTGAATAAAAATATGATTTGTTCATGGTGTTTTTTATTATATTTAAATGCTTAAGTTGAGTGGTCTATTTAAAGTATTATACTTAAAAAACTGTTTGACAATGCATTATTATATCAATATCCCGTACACAATTATACGCGTACATAAATGGAAAATAAGCTGGAGATTGACTTCATATTCTGGTTGTTACATGCAACACATAAATCAATAACCTCTCATCTAATAAGCTTATCCTCTCTTCCAATGTTAATTAGGAATAATTAAGAGCATTTTTATCCCTTAATATTCTATTAATTAAGGTCGGTATAATTAATTGTTTTAAATAACTATTCATGTGAACAAAGATAAACCTACACCAACCGGCTAATCACAGATGGAAATCAAACAAGAGTAAAATTTATTGGATAGTTCATTACCTTTGACCTAAAATACCTACTATATATTTGTAACACTTGTTTGTTTCAGCTCTACTCCACGTCTGGATTTAAAATATTGGCATATTGATATGAAAATGTAACATAATGAGATATATATATTTTTTCTACTAGTAAAGTAATTAGTTTAACAAAAGTGTTAATCATATATTCACAATACATTTACCCATAATATTAAATTCTATTCATCAATGATTATAACAGTTGTTGTTCTAATAATTGATACTGACATAACTTAATTACGTTATAATCAAGGTAAGGATATACGTAGCCTCCAAGAGCCCAATTAGAAATTAACAAAATTTTTATTTAGTGTATAACGGAACACATGCAAATTAAACGAGTTTACATTAATTAAGCGACCAAGGTTATAATATACACAAAATAAGAGATGAAGGTTGGACCAATGGAACGCCTGGCTAGTTCTGGGTGAAGGAAGAGGATTAAAGTATAATTAGTTGATAAGGACATGCCAACTTCCATTTAAGCTTTTGCTGATGCTCAATGGTCGCGAACAGGAAGACAATATGCAATGGCAAGTCTAAGCGCTTACCCTTGCCCCATGCATTATTATTTTTTCAATGTGAGAAACCATTAACAACTAATTTTATCAATTAGTTTGCCGAAGTCTTGGAATTGGAATGTTTAGGTACAAAGAAAACAATAATTAAATTAAATTAATTAACTGTCAGATTATAATTGGAAGTGAGTCTTTGGAGACCCTTCTATATTAATTCAAGTTAGTACATTCAGATTAATATAATTGGTTGAACATAATTCCTTTGATTAATTAATCAAGTTTAAACATGATATAATAAATGAGGTAAGAATAAATGAAAAAGGCGGATGAATAGGTATGAGAATGACACGTTAACGTTGGTGGCTGAGACAAAAATAGCTGTCATTTTATTTCAGGTTTTTGTTAATGCGGATAAGGGTGTGCAAGGTGATGAGGTTGTTGTTGGAGACAAAACCCTAATTCTAAACACAGTTCGTGCAAAGGAGCCGGCGAGAGAATTAACCAGAGAATAAAATCAGATTTTGAGCTCAACAATGTTTACTCTTTCTAGATTTTTATTCCAGTAGCGTTTTGTTATCTTTCTTGTTTCATTTCTTGGCTATTAAAGTCGTGCAATGGCCGGTGCAGTTTCCTAATGAACACTAATGCTATAACAAACACCTTATCGAACTCTCTCTTAACAAGACAAAATTAAAAATTGAATAAGTGTCTCTATTCAACGCGTGGAATTGAAGCGGGCGGATCGGCGGAATCTAAGGAGCCAAGCCCAGAAGGACAGTTATCTTTATACATGTATTTTATGGCTTTGTTCAGGTAATCTATCGGAATACTGTGAATTTTAGGGTTACAAAATATTCTTTAAATAAGACACTACAGCTGGGATCAGTTTTGTAATAGATATTGATGGTTTAATGAGCAACATTTTTGGAATCTTAGTTTCTTTAATAATTTGGTACCAGTTTCAGTTTATTGGCAAAGTTAGCTGTTATCAAATCCAAATAAAGATTGCTCTTTCTTTTTAATACCATCTCAAGAATTTTAGCATGTGCTGTTCTGGGGAAATTCTTTGCATTGAAATCTATAACGGGGTTAAAAAAAATTGTACAAAGAAATAAATTCAACATGTATCGAATTCATTCCTCAGACTACTGTTGATTTTGGTAGATATTTACATGCCTGTATTAATGCTTAGCTTAAAAAGTCAATGAGATTTTCTAGTACTTACATTACGTCATATGTCCACAAAAGAAGTAGCTGTCAAAAGAATTAGTCACGCAAGAAGATTCAATCATCATGTCAATTTGCTGCTTCTTAATTTTTCTTTAAGTGCAGTACTACAGTTTGGAGATGATTTGAGAACAAGTCAGTACATGGAATGGAAGGAAGACATAATATACAGTGTTCGACATCAATTAATCAGTAAGTTGAAAATGGCTTGTAATTAAGTTGGAGGCTGGAGGTAGATGAAACAGTAAGACTTGAAGCAGAGAAACACTTGTTAGGTTTCTGCCATCTAGGACAAGGAACGAGTTTGGCGGTTACTGTGTCGGATACTTTATTTTACTTTAAATAATGTCAAGAGTCATCTGACTCATCTCCCACGATGTGGCCGTCCTTTTGCCTTGGGTTTTATTNTTTCCATTTGGATAATAACTTTTTTTCTGGACCCATTCCTGAAGACTTCGGTGAACGAATGCCCATGTTGTCAGATGTTGACATCTCTTTTAACTTCCTAAATGGTTCCATTCCCTTGTCAATTGGGAATTTAAGTCATTTGTTCACTCTTGTTCTCACCAATAACCAGTTGACGGGAAAAATACCAGATTTCTGGTCTAGTTTAACAACAGTCTATGTCATAAACGTAGCAAACAACTATTTAACTGGTGAGATACCAAGTTCGTTGGGTAATTTGGGTTCTGTTTCACCTATATTCCTGATGCTGAGCAACAACCAGCTATCAGGGGAAATTCCTTCAGCCTTGAAGAACTACACAGAAATTACAACTCCTGATCTTGGAGATAATAAACTTTCGGGTAGCATTCCGGCGTGGATAGGACAAAGGTTCCCATCTCTGCTGATTTTACGTATAAGGTCAAACTTGTTCCATGGGAGCATTCCCTCACAATTATGCAATCTCTCATCTCTTCATTTATTGGACCTCGCTCATAATAATCTTTCAGGATCAATTTCCCCATGCCTAGGGAATTTGAGTGGTATTTCTGTTGATGCTGAAAATGTGAGATATGAAGGGCAGTTGTTGGTGGCAACAAAGGGAAGAGAATACCTTTATGATACGGGCAATCTCTATCTTGTGAATAGCATTAACCTTTCTAGCAACAGCCTGCGGGGAGAGTTGCCCGATCTTACAAATCTTTCAAGGCTGGGGATCTTAAACTAATCTATGAATCATTTGACTGGGAATATACTTGAGAGTATTGGAAGCTTAAAACAATTGGAAACCCTTGACCTCTCCATAAATCAGGCAAGAGAGATTGCGTAGCCAGCTCATTTTTCACATCTCCTAGCTCCTAAGACTTTCTAGAGATTTACATGAACCAAGAGGGTCCCACAGGCAAGAGAGACTTTCTAGAGATTTCGTGTGTGGACACGAAGCACAATTCACACGTGGCAAGACAAATCCAGACATTTCAAGTCTAAGAAAGCCGCGAAAGATCTCGAAAACTGANATGTGAGATATGAAGGGCAGTTGTTGGTGGCAACAAAGGGAAGAGAATACCTGTATGATACGGGGAATCTCTATCTTGTGAATAGCATTGATCTTTCTAGCAACAGCCTGCGCGGAGAGTTGCCTGATCTTACAAATCTTTCAAGGCTGGGGATCTTAAACTTATCCATGAATCATTTGACTGGGAAAATACCTGAGAGTATTGGAAGCTTAAAACAGTTGGAAACTCTTGACCTCTCCATAAATCAATTTTTTGGTCCCATACCAACCAGTTTGGCCGCTTCTACTTTTCTTTCTCATTTGAACGTCTCACACAATAATCTGTCTGGACAAATCCCATCAGCCAACCAATTCCAAACCTTCAATGATCCATCAATTTACGAGGGTAACACTGCACTTTGTGGGTCTCCACTACCCAAAAAGTGCAACGAAGACGAAAAAGCATCTCACTTTCCCAATGGAGAAGAAACAGATGATGAAGACAAGGATAAACTTGAAAATCTATTGTTTTACAGCACCATAGTACTGGGATTTCTCATTGGATTTTGGGGAGTTTGTGGGTCATTGATAATAAAGAATTCTTGGAGGCTTGCCTTTTTCAAATTGGTGGATGACATGAAAGATAAACTCATCTTGGCTGTCTCATTAACATGGGCACGTCTCCAGAGATCGGCAGAAGAATGGAACTAAGTTTAATGACAGGATATATTCGCATGTCTGAACATTAATGCGTTGTCTTTCCTAAATTTGTCAATCTCTGTGTTCAGTTTTGTAGAACAAAGTTCGAATAACTTAAGAATACATAGCGATTAATGCAATAAAAAGGTATTATAAGTTCTGTTGGAATGCAAATCTTTACCATTTAATGGAACATGATCTAAAAGAGGATAATAGAGATATAAGGTTTGTTCAACACAGACAGCCGTAAGACAATAACACAAGAATGCCTGTAAAAACTTGTATCACCATCTAGTACTAATATTTGATGTTACAATACCATCAATTTATTTAACCATAGTATAAATCCACAGAAAGGAGCTTGGTGGGGTTCTTGTCATGCAACAGTCAGGCCTCGGGGTACTTGCATATGAAAAATAGTGCACACTTAAGGAGTCATTACACGAGTAACAAGAATTACTCGCAGAGATGAGGTTGAGGAATATAACGTGGGATTCTGGAACACCTTTCTGTATCACTAGTTCCTTTCTGAAAAATTTCAAACAGTTGAATTGTAAAACATAAAAATTAAGGGAGGGTGCATCCGATTGGAAGTAGAGGCATGAAGGGTGCACGTTAGAGAGCGGAGGGCGGTTGCGGGAGGGTTTAGAGAGAGAGATGGAGGGATGCGCACTGCTTGCGGCAGGAGATGAAAGGACAGGGACGACGGAAGGAGAGGAGGCAAGGAGGCATATGTTCTGCGTCGAGTGAGTACAGTTAGGTTAATTATTGCATTATTCAACACAACGTAACTTTGATAATTAGTTTTCATATTAATTGATGTAAAATATTTTTTTAATAAAGAAGCTGGAAAGAATAAAAATGGGAACTGCAAGTGTGAAGATGACTAAACTAGTAAACTTCACTAGTCCATCAGTTCATGGTATTATGAGGTGATGGATTAAGACTGGTCAAAAGTCATTCACTAATCAACTCCTGGTTCACTTAGTCCGTGTACTATTGGCACCACCAAATCAGCTAACCTTATTGGATTCTCACCATTCACTTTAAAATTGACTAATGCTATGTTTGACCATTCCAGCCACTGTTACTAGAGAGCTTGAGTGAACTCTGCAAATTTCCTATGCTTAGAAATTACCAAATCTCCATAACGTTCTTCCATAACTTGGTTCAGTGGTCTGAACGAGTTTGTGGATAGTCTGTATTACATTTATTAAATGAATCATTTGCGTAGTATACAGTGAATGATGCAAACTTCTTTAATACTTTTTGGCTGGGAACGCTAGTCTCTTAGTGCAGAAATTTACCCAGAAAATGGTATCTAGTATATACTAATGGAAGGAACAATCGTACGAATTTCTAGTGCAGGTTTTAAGGGTCTAAATTTCTATGAAGACACATTAAATTATAAAGGAGAAATTGACTCACCCAATATCATTAAGAGAAATCCTAGAGATACAAAGTGATGTGGCAACTGTCACATCATTTGCCCTCTCTCTTTAGTTTTTTTTCATTCTTTTCTTCTTCTCCGTCAATCTTCTCTCCGTTTTGCAGATATAAGAAAATAAAAACCTATTCTTTTTCTTTTTCTTTTATCATTGATTTTCTAAATTTTTTTCTCTCCCGTCTCTTCTTCCTCTTCTTCTATTTCTTTTTCCTTTTAGCCTTATATTTTCTCATGGAAAATTCCCTCTCTAAATTTTTTCTAAATTCTGATTCACATTTTCTCAGAAAATTCCATCTCTAAACAAACAATGTAGAAAAGCAGAGTGTAGAGATGGAAGAGAGAATCGGATCACCAAGATTTAAATCGATTCACTAGGCTTGAAAGGAACTCTCCCACCGCACCTTAGGAACTTAACTTCACTGACTATACTTGAGGTGATGAAGAACGAACAGAGTGGGTCTATCCCAACTCTTGTTGGGTTGATTTCTCTTCAAGAAGTGCTTTTTAAGAACAACAATTTTTCATATTTCCCTTGGATTTCTTTTCTGGGTCAACTTCTTTACAAAGTGTAAGCCTTGATTATAATTCCTTTGAGTCTTGAGAGATTCCTGTGGGTTTAACAAATGCAATGACTTTGCAGAAGTTTTTAGCAAACTTTGCTAATGTTTTAGGGACTATTCCTGGGTTTCTGGGGGATGTATTTCCAGGATTAAAGAGCTTGAATTTGGTTATGAACAAACTTGCTTACTAGCATTATATTGTTTGTTTAGAGATGGAATTTTCCGAGAAAATGTGAAGCATAATATAGGAAAAATTTAGAGAGATAATTTTCCATGAGAAAATATAAGGGAAAAAGAAAAGCAAAAAGAAATAGAAGAAGAGACAAGAGAGAAATAAGATAGAGGAGATAAAAATAGTGAGAAAAAAAATTAAAAAATCAATGATACAGGAAAAAGAAAAAAAAAATTAGGTTTTTTTTAAAAAAAAAAAATGATCTACAAAACAGAGAAAAGATTGAGGGAGAGGAAAAAGAAAAGGAAAATAAAGAGAAAAGACTAAAGAGAGAGGACAGGTGATGAGGTAGCTGATGTGGCAACTGCCACATCATTTTGTACAAAGACTCTTTGTAAGAGTCTTTGTACATCTAACATTTCTCTATCATTAATCTATAAGTAATGTGACTTTTCCTTGGCATTTCATTTGAGTTTCAGTATCAATATACATTGTAAGTAGTATCAAAAGCTCCATCCCACTCCTTCTACTTGTAATATTGTCTTCTGAATTCTTCTCTTATGAAACTGTTAGACCTGTTTCCTATACTAGCAGTCACAATCGTAGTTGCTTGGAAATTGAGAGAAGCTTTTCTTAACTTTAAACAAGGTCTCAAGGATCCTTCAGTTCATCTGTCTTCCTCGGTTGGCAGAGACTGCTGTAGATAGGCCGGTGTAAAATGCAACAACAAAACTGGACATGTCATTATGCTCAATCTTCACAAAGACTAGTCGAGCCTTGATGGTGATGGAATTTCATATATGTTAGCTGGTAATGTTAAGCAAATGAGGTGTGAGAATGTAATGTTTAAGAAGTGTTATGGGTTATTGTGTAATGATAGAAAGTCTTTTGTAGTCTGGTTTGTAAATTGTAAAACAGTGAGTTTTTTGTAGTAAGTAGATTTTTACAATATAGTGCGTTTTGTATTAAGAGATTTCAGTTACAAATAGTAACTGGTTTGTAACAAACTTCAGTTAATGAAAAAAATCCCCAAATTTCTGCATTTCTGTTTGAGCTGTTCTCTCTACTGTTCGTTAGCTTCTTCTTCTTCAATCCCTTGAAATCTTCATGGTGTCAGAGATATAGACAAGTGTCCATGGCTAATCTAGGTCCTGAGTTTTCAATTTCAGCTTCAAAAACAAAGTCTACACAATATCGAAGTGTCTATATATCAAATTCAATGTTTCATTCAACACTTCCAACGATCTCAGTAAAACTCATGGAGAAGAACTATGGTTATTGGCGATCTTAAATTTTTCCAGCATTGACATCTCACGATCTTGATGGCTGTGTTACTGGTAAGAATCCATGTCCTCCAATGTTTCTTTTTGATAAGTCAGAAGAATCGAAAGAATTGGTCAAGAAACCAAATCCTAGGTATTTCATTTGGAAGAAAACATACTAGTTCCTAGTAAGCTGGCCATTCTCAACTATATCAGAGTCTATGTTTAGACATGTAGCAAAGTGTACTAGTTCCTATGAAATTTGGAATACACTAGAGCTTCATTTTCAATGCAATTCAAAGGCAAGAACATTGCACTTAAGAAATTTATTACATACTACTACAAAGGAGTCCTTGAGCATTAATGAATATATATTGAAAATAAAAGAATTGGGAGATGAGCTAACTAGAAGTGGAGTTAAAATTGGAGATGAAGAATTGTTGTTATATATTCTGGGTGGTTTTAGGTCTTGAATATGATACAGTGGTTGCAAATTTGACTTTAATAGTAGTAGTGCAACTCTTCAAAAAGCTTAGTTTGTGTTGCATAAACATGAAATGAGATTAGAAAGACAAAACAGTGCTTTACTGAGTTTTCATGAACATTTAAGCTCTGCCTTAATGGCTTCTAAGCAAGGGGCCGTTGATTTTGTGTCTCCATAGAACTCAAGAGTTGGTTTTCAGAATTTCTCACATATGTTAAAACTAGGAGTGTTAAGCACTCCATCTTCTGAGATGAATTTTCAACATCAACAAGGTCAAAATGTCTTGGCAAGTGTGCCTTCACATACTACAATAGGGAATTTTGAGTTTGGAAATATTGGATATTAGGGAGGTGGTCTAAAAAGTATATCATCACTTGGTTCTCAGTTTGTGCCTATTGGTCTTAATGGTCCTCAGTTTGTGTCCAATGGCTTTAATCAGTTTAATAATAGCTTGATGAGAGGAAGAGGAAGAGGCTGACGCTATTTCAAGCCAAAGTTGGTCTACCAAGTATGTGGTAAAGTAGGTCATTCTGCTCAACAGTGCTACCACAGGTTTGATCAGGATTTCCAAGGTTTTAATACTACATCTTACAATCAACCAACATAGGTCTCTACTTATAATCCTTTAGTCTCCTCTCAATCAAATTTTGCTGGAATTTCTAATGACCTGTTCAAGCTTTGGTTACTGGTCAGTTTGTACCCAACATTGGTTTGTTGAATTCAGTTATTGGTTTTCATGACTATTCAGTTAAACCAGGATCTCAAGTGCCTCAATACTCTACTTCTAGTCTACCATCAAATGATAATAGACAATGTTTGAATTTTCAGTCTCAAGCAACCAATTGAAGTTTGCTTGTGCCCAATCTTGCTAAGATTGAAACTGGGACACTATTGCCTTTGAATACTTCTTATCAAATTGTAGCTAGTCCATAAACAGTGCAAGATTAGGCCTGATACATGGATTCTGGTGCATCTAACCATATGACAGTAGATGCCTCCAATCTGATGCATAAGTCTAGCTACTAAGGGAATTCCAAGGTTCAAGTTGGCAATGGAGATGCTATTTGTGATACCCCGTAATTTTTGTAAATTTCATTAAAAAAAATTCTTTGTAATTTAGGGGGCAAAGTGTATGGAATTGAAACTTTGAAGGAGGAAGGTGTCACAACTGAAAAGATGGAGGACTAAATTGAAAATTTTCAATTAGTATAAAAGTGCTAGGGTTCT